CTAAAAGTGTTACGGAGTTTGAATACCAGTCACTTGCTTTAAAAATTTGTGAAGAAATGTGGATCCAAATGTTACCCAGTGGTTGTTTGGTTAAGTGAATTAGTGGTGTACTGTAATTCTTTTACATGGATCTAAGAAAATTATATGTTTGACATAAAAAATTACAAATACAATGTAAAATATAAAAGAATTTGAAGTTTACATTGTAGTTCATTTTAGCGAAATTTGGACTTTGACCAATTTGGCCAAATTTAAAATTCGGTCAATTTGATCGAATTTGAATTACATCATTCATGTAAAATGTTATAGATAATTCGATGTCGCATGTCGCTGAAACCAGCTGCTGCTCGCGGCTTGCCGCCAACCGACAGACGCAGCCCACAGTCACAGCCCAGTCCGTTGTCTGCCTTTACTGTCGCCCTTTGCCCATGTAAATACATTATTTTCAATTTACTTCAAACCAAACAAAAAAATATAAAGTCCTACATTTATTTTAAAGTGAATCAAACAATTCAAAAGTATTTCAAATACATTATAATAATAGTACTCTACAAATATTTTACATTGTATTTCATTTTCAGCTAACCAAACAACTCTTAAATGAGTTGGGATACTCTACCGTCAATCTCATGAAGACGTTTTGTGAAAGTCAAGTCGCAGTTAAAAAAAATATTGCAACGAATCATGTGTATCATGACAGGACCAGACACATTGAGATTGATTGATATTTTATCTCTAAAAAGATTAATGAACACATTGTTCAATTAATATACATCCAAACTCATCATAAATTTGTTGATGCCTTCACTAAATATCTACCTCCTGACAGCTTCATTGATCTAAAAATCAAGATGGGTCTTTACAATATTTATAACCCAGCCCGGAGGAAAGTGTGGAATTCTGACCTTTTTTAGTTTTATTCCCTCCTTATCACGCTATATTTCTTTCCTTCTTGGTAATGTTTTCTTTTGTAAATTGTAATTTTTTTAATTATTCGTTATCTAGTTGTTCCTAATTATATAAGAAGAAGTGTTGTAATTTGATTATTGAGAAATAACATAATATGTTTTTTTTCACTTTTCTTCATTAAACAATTGAATTAAATTATTATTTCTATATCATCATTTTATTTTATCTTTTAATTGAATATTGTTTCATATTTATTTGTTTATGTTAATATTTTTTTTAATATTTTGCATCATATTTAAAATGAAGCGCTCTGCATCATGCATCATGCATCATGCACTGTGTTATGGCTCCACAGAAATCCTTGTGACAAGTGTCTTAGGTTTCTCAAAAAATTCCCCAAATGTTTGAATTTGGACTTTAGACAATTATCATCTCTACTATTGTCATATGCCACCTTCAACAAGCTTACAAAATTAACCCTAGTCACTACATCCTTCTAATATCAATATATAATTACTTAGCAAATGAATTCCCTTCCATTATTTAGACATGAAGCTTGCTAACGTTTTGCAAGTATTATGTTAATCTTATTAAATGTAATGTGTTCTAAGCTATTCTCATTACTTGATATTAGAGTATATTCATAGTACAGGCAAATTTCATCTCAACACTAAAATATATTTATAGAAGATAGAAGAATGCATCTAAAACTAAAAAATTAACACTACTCCAAATCTAACATCTAAATTCTTCTACATGGCTAAGTGAATATGTTGCCTCGATTAGGATCTAGAGATCCATTGTTCGAGTAACATAAATAGCATCTCTATAAATAAAAGGGTAAGGCCAGATATGTTAACTGCAACAAAAACCACATTGGATGGACCAATATAAATTGTATATGCCCTTTTTAATGTCAAAGGTAGGCAACCCATGCTATTTTCAGACAAGACAGGCAACAAAATAGCTCACATTAGTGTTATCATTTTTTTCAAAAAAAAAAAGCCCAAGGGCAAACATATTAGAAAGGAAAGATAGATATAGGTTGGATGAGAGGGCCTAAACTGGAACCCTAAGTATCTGGTATACAACACACACCAAGGTCCCAAAAAAGTACATATAACTCACATTAGTGTTATCTATATAATATAACACATAACATAACTCGCATAGCATTATATTTTCTTAACTTAAATATAAAGTTTATTTTTTACACTCTCAATAATTTAAGAGTTATTTATCATTATTTTTATTTTAAAAAATAGACATAATAAAGTTTCATAAGCCACCCATGAGTCATACTCACTCACTCTGATGGAAAAATTTCATCGCTAAACTTCAGCTTTATGATCTCCCCATTCTATCTAACTAGTAAACATTTATGATTTTTTTCTTGTACCTTTGTACATTTTTTTCATCTATTGTACTTCCATTTTTCTTTGTTTCGTACATAGTTTTACTTGATCTAATTTAGTTGATTAATAAAAATATTGTTATTATATTATTGCTCTGAGTTTATTTGATTATGGTAATTTATGTTATTCAATATAAAGAACTACCTTCTTATCATAAGTCATATCTTAAAAAAAACTCAAATTTAGGTAATTTCTTAGAAAGATTTGGTATGAAAATAGTCTTTCCTTGACCTACATGCATATCTAAGCAATATTATGTTCTATTTCTATGGCATTGGTAATTCCTTTTTGTATCAAGATATTTTCTTTTTTATAGTATTAAACTATTGATAATTATTAGAAAATTTTAATATATTACACTATTTTTAAAAGAACAAGAATTCATTATGTGCCATGTTTTATAGCTCTATGAGATCTTTATGCTATAGTGTATTGTTTGCTATTAGCAAATATTATTGGTACAAAAAATGTCATCTGTATGAGGAGACATTATTTGAGCCAAAATATAATGGTAACAAAAATGGAACATGCTCTCAAAGCATGTTATAATAAGAAAGTAAGCTTTTAATTTTTTAAGTCCATTATTTTAACAGCAATTTATAGCTATTATAATCTTTTAGCCATGAAATTAATTTGCACTAAGCCGAATTTAAAATGGGGGTTATACATTAAGTGAATTTAATTGAAAAAGAAAATCAAAGATGTAAGCATCATGTGCAATAAAAGAAGTGAGAAAACTAAAACAACGAAAAATACAACAAAAAAAAAATCAAAAAAAGGAGTTTAAGAGAACTTGAGAAAGAAATTGATGCAAATCAATACTTTAAATTTTGATTTTGCTTCAATCAATATTATGTTAAGAGTTTCTTTGATTTTTCAATTTTTTAGTTTTAATCATATCCATGATAATACTTAGAGAATATGTTACATTCTCTATCATTTTCACATAGTTTCTCTCTAATTTGGTTTAATTCTGTGTGTTGGCTTGATTCAGTTCCATCATTGATTCTCTATTGGTTTGGTCACCAACAACCTTTGCTCAACTATTTTGGGCCTGCAGTTGTTTGATATTGAATAGCCAATTCTCTATATGAAAGGTCTGTTTGCTATTTAAGTAGGATTAAACGTTTTGTTAGGACACAACTTGAAGTGAGCTATGGGATTACATTCTAGCAGCTTGGAAGTTCCTATTCGGCTCTCTAATGATCAAAACTTGTCTGCTTGGAAAAAGAATGACTTGCAATATCATTTGAGTAAATTTTGGGCTTGCAATTTTGTACTGTAGCTGCTATCATGACATGTTTCTAACTGCAACCTCTTTGTGAATTCAATATTCTTTTGGTTTTGAGATTATCGCCTTGTTCGGATATTTTTGTTATTTGAGGAGAGTTTCTATGATTATAAATAAGGTTACCCCTGCAGCATGTAAAAAATAATTTTTTAACAGCAGTTTTCTTTGAATATTCTGCTTCCTCTTTGTTTTGGAGTGTTGATTGGACGTGAAACTTCATGAGGTAAAGTGATAAATACTAACTTTTAAGGGAAGCTATCTCCTTGAAATAACATAAGGATTGGATTATTATTTGGTAACTTATATCATCTTCATTGTATTGAAGCTCTTAAAATAGTGATTATTTTGCGTATGAGATTGATTGTTTTCAAATCTACTACAACTTCACTTCTCTGATTGTGTTGTGAATTTTTGATCAAGCACGTGATTCTTTTATGCCATAATATATACTTGAGATTTGTGTTAAACAGCAATTAAATTATCACTTGACAAAATTTTTTTGAATTTCTAGTTTGCATGTTGTGTAAATGATTTTATGCGTATCATTTTAAATCCACAGACCTAAACCCTAACGTGTATAGCATCTGTAATTGTTTAGGAAAAAATGGGAGATTGCACATTAAAAATTTATAGTTGACCGTAGGGATTTAAAAACAATGAAACATATAGCTTCTGTTTTACAGTAACATAAACCATATAAACTTAGATATAAATGAATAGTTTGGTCATTTAACAACACTTCTGGTTTCATATTGAGTTATTGGCCTACAGCAATTGAGAGCCATCAATTCATAGAAAAACAATTAGCATAATGATGTAAAATACTAGGTTAAACCAAAACATTGGTAAGAGTTTGAAGAGCATCTCTTTTCTTTCCAGTCAAAGAACAAGAGTCACACACTTTACCAATGCTTATGTTCCTTGCTTTTTTTCCTTGAACATTACCAGCATCAGTTTTGACTAGCAAGGTTCAAAAAATTTAAATTCTCTATTTTAGATACTAAAAGAAATGAAAAGTGCAATCTGTTAATCAACTATTAGCAAACAATAAGTATATAAACATTCTCACTACCATGCCAAAAAAGCCTGTCAATATTATTTCCCCTAGCAGTTGATTTCAGCTACTTGAGTACCCACACACCTAACTTGCTGCAGCTGGTTGCTTTCAGTCAAGCTCTAAGGTGACCAGACAAGCGGCAAAAATAAGGAAAGCAATACCTAGAAAAGAAAACACACAGGTGCTATCTATCATGGAGAAACCAAATAGATGGAACTGAATCAAAATCCATAGAAAATATTTTTTCCAGATATAGAAAGGCAGCAAACAGCGCAGAATCAGATGCTAAACCAAATAATGGTAAAATAAAGAATAATTTTATTCATACCCGCTAACATCGGAAATCTCCCTGGAAATTTTCATCTTTTTCGTGGTCCCTTTATACAAATCCTCCAGGCTGCAAGGCAACCGATTCTCAATGGGTGCCGCCTTCTGTGGCCCATGAGAATTCATGTGTCTATCCCCACCAAATGCCGAGCCAAATAAGTCATCCCCAAACATCCCACCAGGAAATCTGGGCCCGCCCCTCATCCCAGCACCTCCTGCGCCACTGCCCATTCCCCCAAACGGGTTCGAAAATCCAAAGAATTCTGCAAAAATGTCATCCGGACTTCTCGGATTGAACCTAAATGTGCCGGGCCCATCACCGCCACTGAAAAAGGAGGATCCGCTTGCTCCCCCGGCACCCGGCGGCGGCATTTCTCCCTTTAATCCTTCCTCTCCATACTGGTCGTAGACCGCTCGTTTCTGGGGATCACTAAGGACCTGAGGAGACCAAAACAAAAGACTGGGTCAATAATCGATCCATGGAGGACAGCAAGCAAGTGGCGATTGTTCGGGAAAGAATGAAGTACCTCATAAGCCTCGGAGATCTTCTTGAACTTAGCCTCAGCTTCCTTCTTGTTGTTAGGATTCTTATCTGGGTGCCACTTCATGGCTAGCTTCCGGTAGGCCTTCTTGAGATCGTCATCCTTGGCGCTCTTGTCAACCTGTAGAATCTTGTAGTAATCCACTCCCATTCCCGATCCACTCCTCTACCTCTTCACCGTCCGATAAACTGCTTCCGCTCTACTCTTTTCCCGCTTTCGTCGATTTTGTAATGAGAAGTAGGGATGGTTGATTTTTGTTTATCCTTCCCTGCCTCAGCGGTTGACTGCGTTTGGGAGAATGAAAAAGCAAGTCTAGGGCGGTTTGGCAGCGAATCAGATTTTAGTTTAATAGAATTTATCTAAAATGATACATTTGGATTTCAAAACTTATGGGAGAAGCTAGTGAGAGGTTGGGATAAATTCTGTCTCATAGTCTCATTTATTAAATTTGAATTTACGTTGAACTGGAGATGGAACGAACATGTGATCAAATTCAATTTAACAAGAGTGTTGGATTTATGTTTTTTTATTGGATTTAAGATAATTTTATGGCTAAATTCGATAATAAGTATGGTACCGAACACCCCTTAGGACAGCAAAAGACCCCAAACGGCAAGATTTAAGGGTGGGAACTTCGAAAAGTTGTAGACAATACTGACTGATATTAAAGAGTGAGGATTTCTTCGGCTCTTTTAAAAATAAGGGCTTTTGAGAATTTTGGGTTTGGTCATCAAATCCCAAGTACTCAGTAATACTGAATTTAGAGTATATTCTATAGTTCATATTTTCTCTATTTGAAGTTCGATTTATTTGGCTATTTTTTAGTTCCATGCTTGTATGTAATATATCGTTGCCACGACTGGCAGACCAACCCGCTTGTCGTCCCTTACCGTCGGCGACCGCAGCATCTAGCCACCTTCGTTAGCCCAATTATTCCCAAAATCTTTGTTAGTCCACCTATAGCATTCTTTATAAAGTTTAGGGTTTCATTTGTCATCTAGAAATCCTTTCCTATCTGACTCTATCCTTCAAATCATATATGTTAATCAAATCCAGTATAACTAATTTATCTTTTAACTTCACTTAATCAGTTCAAATTTATCAAATCTTTTCAAAACTTCCTAGATCTTGTGCTTTTCCCCTAACAAGTCATCATCAGATTGTATGTCCCGTCCTCTTTTGGGCGTAATTCTTCTAATTTGGACTCCCATTCCAATTATGAAAGTTTGAACGCTGATACTTTGACTCATCACATGAATTGAGAGTTTCCTTCAGGGCTTACAGCTCTAAGGATTTCATTAACTACGAGATCTTGCACTTGTAAGGAATGAAACTCTTGAATTAAAATAAACCTTCTGTTACATCTATATGATATGAGAAGAATCTTGGTTTTACAAATTCATAATTCACAAATACTTTCCTCATCTGGATGATTGAATCCATTCTAAGATAATATTTCTATCTCTCAAGATAGTATATTTTTCTTTGAATATTGTATTCAATCATTTAGATAAAAGACTTTTGAGAGCTACGGTGGGAATGCAACCAAAACAATTGCCCCCACCCATATGTATGGATGATGATATTTGCTTTGGCTAATTGATCATACTTTTAACAACTTCACCAATCATTGGCTTGCTATTATAATTTTGTTGCTCTTTTAACTTTTACTTATTTAGACTACCTGATCAGGTGAGTAGGATCAACTTTGAAGCCCCACTACCACCTATGATTAGATGTCTACATTTAGAGTTTTTAGAGTGTCCACACAATCCTTGAATCAGTTCAAGGATCATAAAGACTGATACTTAGGCACTGCACTTTAGCATCATGACACCACCCTTTTTTACCTCTAAATTAGGGGGCTATGCTATAGTTGTGCCATCACAACACTTTAGCATCATCCCTTTGATCTGATTATTGCATTCATTTGCATTTTTGCTTTATTTTACACATGCATATGTATGGAGCCTTCTAGCTCATGTTCACGATGTCATTTCACATTTGTTATGTTATATGTTAATTTCCTACATTTGTTGCAAGTTGTGTAGCTTGCTGCCCTGTACCTAAGGTTATAGTGATTGACACCTAGGTGTTGCTTGAGGGGAATAGCAATGCCTTCCTTTTTAGGAATAGAAGGTTGATAGCCTAAGGTCATCTATATGATCTTGTGGCATTTTCTTTCTAACTTAGGGTCACATCTTATATTGATTGTATAATGACACGCCTAAAAATGTGCTACTTTATATATATATTTTATGCTCATTTTCAAATATATTATATTGTAATGGAATATATTTTATGTTTTTTTGGTTTCAGGTACAAAAGATAGAGTTCTGGAGAAAATGGAGCAAAAATGGTGCAATTTGGAGTCAAATGGAGCAAGGAAGAAAATTTTGACCTGACGTATTTTGATATAACTTTTTTTATGCTTGATTTTCGTAGCATTTATCACATATTTTTGAATGAAATTATACTTTAAAGAAAGGTTATTTTCATGTTTATCTTGCAGGTATAACACTTGGAGATGATTGGAGCTAAAACGAGGCAAAACAAGAGCAAACGGGGGTGCTTCCAGCAAGTTGGCACCTAAGCGCCAGCCTTGACCCAGAAAACAGAAAAGACAGCTCCTAGGCACCAAAAATTGCCCTGGATGATTTTTGGACGCCCCAAGGAGTTATTAGGTGGATTTTAGCACTGGGAAAGACACCTTTTTCACATTTTAAATTCCTGGAATCTCCAAGAACGCCGAGAGGTCATAGATAGGAGTAGAAAATGTAGATTTTATTCTTTTCTTGAGAGATTGAAGAGGGGTTTTTGAGACATATCTGAATTAAATTGTATTGGCATTGCATGGATCAACATGAAACTTTGTTGGGGGGATTTTCATCTTTCTTCAGAAGAAAAAAACTAACTATTGTATTGTTTATTTCTTATAATTGTTGTAAACATTTATCCAGTAGAAGTGTTTTGATTTAAATGAAGTTTTCTATTGTGTTTTTTCATGTTTAGTGAGTAGTTTCCCTTTCTCTTTTCTCTTGTTAGGAAGTAGTGGCATAAGTGGGAAAATTTGTTTCATGATAGAATAATTTTAATTTCTATGTAATGAGTAATATCTCTGTTGCATCATTGACATAATGTACTGGTCATATGTTATGTTAAAATCTATTGTAACTAAGACTAGAGCGGTGAATCTCACAACTAGAGTGCACTCACATTGTCCAATTAGCTATGGTAGAGTAGTTTACGTGACAATGCAATGTTAAGAAAATATTCATTGATTTGGTGTAAATTGGTGTTTCTAGGATGACAGGCTAGATTCTTACCAATCTGATCTAGAGTTTGGAACTTCAGGACTGGTTAGTCCTAAAGAGAGGGCACAGTGAGGGTGACAGGCTAGAACCTACCCAGCATAACCTTAGATTTAGGAACTTAACTTTAGGTTAGCTAATATTCTTTATGCATTTGAAAGAGGGTAAAGAATAGGTTTTCTCTTATTGTCACAGCCTACATTAAACTTTAAACATTTCATTCCTAAACCTTATCTAGGTCATCACAAGAGAAAGGTGGCTTTTACATCACAAAATTCACCAAACCAATTTATCTAGTTATGTTTATCCTTAGATTTAGGTTTGTATTTAGGATTAGTTGTTAGAAAAATACCCTTAATCGACATTCTAAACTACGATCTAATAGTAGTAGACTAGAATTAGCCTAAGGTCTGCTACTTCGATACTCTAGGTTTTAAAGAAAACACTATATTGTTTGAATGATACGTGCACTTGTGTAAAACCCCTAGTGTGCAAACGATAACTTAAATTCGGTGTCTGATGGCTCTTCATAATCTTAAGCAAAGGTGTTTTTGATCCTAGATTCAACTACATGACATGGGCCACTCTAACGTTTAGAACTCACATCTGAAGAACTATGGGTTGGGTTTTCGTGCTTCATGGTTTGATCTGTAAATACAGGCTCATGTGTTGCAGGTAGTGCTTCTGTAACAATGCCAACGAGAATAGATTCATTAAGTACCATTGAGGATCAATAGGCTTTCAAGACGAGGAGGAAGATGAAGGATAATAAGTTTTATAAATGCGTGGTTTTCTAGTAGTTATGCAAATTTCTTTCTTGCTAACTTGTTTTACAAGTTTTATTGGGTTGAAACTCTAGGCCTTTCATTACCTTATATTGGTTTTTGATTTATGTCTTTTATCTATGGAAGACTTTCATATATATATATATATATATATATTAAAAAAGTAGAAATCTATTCATACAAAAATTCGGTTACATATTCTATGGTAAGGGATCCCCACCTCAAAAGAAAAGCAAGAGAGGAAGAGGGGGTTTTGGAAACAAGAGTTGAGTTGGAAGCATTCCCAAGCTTGGCCAGCAAGTTTGCAGGATGATTTCCCTCCTTGTAAATAAAAGTAAAGAGAATGGTAGAGGAAGTCAACAGGGCCTTGATCTTCCTGAGCCAGTGAGCAATGTGCCAAGGATGGCAATCCTCAACGGTGAGTGCCCTCAGAAGTAAGGAAGTATCCATCTCTACCTGTAAATTGTCCCAGTGGTTGCAAGTTGTTAACTTTATGGCCCAAAATACAGCTTCCACCTCTGATTCCAAAGCATCCTTAACAAAAATTGGAGGATAAAAAAAGGAAACACTTCTCGGCATGGTCCCTGAAAACACCCCCTATGACAGCTCCTTGCTCAGAATAACTCCCACCAGTGTTGGATTTGATAAGTGGGGGGGGGGCAACAATGCCACAAGGAAGTGTAGATATTAGGAAGATTCTTAAAGGATATCAGTTTAAGGAGGAATGCCTTACAATTGGTTGCAACCTTCAAAGTGGTGGTGGAGTAGTTTTTCAAATTTAGACTAATTCCTTACCATCCAGTTGAATTAAGAAAGGATAAAAGGAATGGAACACAGATTTACCTTAGCCCAATGAGTACAACAGAGAGTTAACTGATTCCAGTCCAACAACATTGTAATAATATTTAAGCATTTGATGAATTCATTCCAAACAGCTTGGGAGAAAGGACATAGAAAGAAGAGGTGAGCAGCAGCTCTTCTGCTTGCATGCATAACCAACACCTAAAGGGGCCACTCAACCCTTTCAATTTGAGAATATCATCAATAGGCAGAAAATTATGAAAAATTCTCCAACCGAGGAAGGACATAGAAGGAGTGAGGAACTTGTTCCAGATACAATCACCCTAAGGGACTTAATCCCACTGATACATTTTTGAATAAATTGCTTGAGTTAGGCTTCGTGTTTTGCTTGCAACAATAGCAATAGAATCCTTCCTTGTG